CCCAAAATGAAAACCAGTAAGACAGTGGTCTTAACCTTCCTATGTTGCCAACCTTTAATCCATTCCTCATGTTGTGGTGACCCCAACCATAACATTGTTTCGTACTAATTCATGACTTTTGCTTCTGTTATTAACTGTATGTAAACATCTGACATGTGACCCCCCCCAAAGGGGTCTCGACCCACAGGTTGAGAACCACTGCACTCGGCATTTGATCTAGACGTCCGAGGTATCATTTGCCTCTGACCCAGCCCACCTAAAATACAGGCAAGTTCTCAAACTCAGCTGTACTGAGTCTCACACGTATGTTGAGCCAAGTAGGACATGTGACCAGTTGTACCATGTAAATATTAAACACCGTGAATGGTATCTTTAAACCAAGACTTTGCTAAGTATGGCCCACTGAGAATATAGCCAGGAAAGAGCTGGGTAGCACCAGTGTTTCTGATACTAAATCTAGGCTTGATCTAGATTGGCTGTGGTACGCTGGATTGCTATCTGAAAGTACAGAAGGAATTCTTAGCAGAAGTCACTCCGGTTCAGGTAAAGTTGCATTCTCACCTATAGGCGTTCTCTGTGGGTTCATTCTCTCTGAAGAGAAATAAAGATTAGGTCGCTCCTAGGTATTTGACTTGAGGATATCATGTTTTATACAGTTATTTCAGGATAGAAAGTGGTCTTTATCAACAGGTTCTCTCTCAAGACAGGATTTCTCTGCATAGCTCTGGCTATCTTGGAACTCTATAGACTCTGAACTCACAGAAATGGTCTGCCTCTGCCTCCTGAGAGCTTGGATTAAAAGTGTGAGGGGTACACCACCAACACCAGGCTTATTTTCACTTTTAATGTGTGTTGTCATTTTACATTGTTTCTTGCTAAAATTTTATATATAAATTATGTTTCCAAATTCCCCCCTCCAAAGCCAAAACCCCACTTTCTGCTCCTGCAGAGGACCCAAGTTAGGTTCTGTCCGTCATCCACATCATGGTGAACAACCGATGCCCTTTCCGGCCTGCAAGGGCGCCGCTCACACATGGCACACATACACACATGCAGGCAAAACACCTATACACAGAAAAGGTGATAAATGCAAAACAAAAAATCCTTAGCCAGGAGGTGGCAGCACACACCTTTAATCCCAGCACTTGGGAGGCAGAGGCAGGCGGATCTCTGAGAGCTTGAGGCCAGCCTGGTCTACAGCTCAAGTTCTAGGACAGCCAGGACTACACAGAGAAACCCTGTCTTGAAACCCACCGCCCCCCCCCCCCCCCCCACCGCGCCCGTCTGGAATTCATCCCATTAGCATTATGTACGATTCTAAACACAGACTATTCCACAGGAGCATCTTTGGTCCAAAGTGACTCCACGCATGAGGTAGTGGACAAAGGCCAAACAAAGAAAAGCCATAAGGTTGCATTTTGTATATAAAATTGTTTAATGTTTACTTTGTTAAAATACACTCATTCTAGATGCAATGATCAGGTGGCCAGACTTTTCAGCATTTTCCCATGTGTCATTCCTGACTCTGGTCACAGAACACTCCCACCTCCAAACACTGAGAGTGATGCAAATGTAGACTCAGTAACTTTGTGACCACTGCATGAGGTACCAATAGCGCAGGCCCAAACATTAAGATGTATAGTAACTTGGTCCTTTCCCAAAATAAATAATTAGGACACCAATCTAATACTTGAAGTGATACAAACTAAGTGCCAGCTCCTGTGAGGGCAGTGCATGCAGACAACGGGTGGCTGTGTGGCCAGTGCTGGGATCTCACGGTGCCCCTGGCAGCGCTAGCTCTGAGCAGTGATGAGGAGAATGAAAGCAGCTGCAGCTCAGCCAGCCTGCTGGGCCCTGATGCCAGCACGGCGTGGCGCTTCCTGTCATGCCTAACAGGTCCCGGAAGCATGCACGGTGATACTATGTTCTTACCGGAGCTGACCAGTGAGGCTGAGATGGCTCCTGCTTGAGCAGATGAACAAGGGCATGGGCTCCTTCCGGCTGCCCTGCTCCTCATCATCTGAACGTCAGTTCCTGGCCCCGGGTGAGCCCTCACTCCCATCACAGTCTCCGTCCTGGGTCTCAAACTGTGAGCCGCACTGGCAGCTAGAAAAGCCATAGCTAAAGAGTTTACACTGCCAGGAAACCTCATCAAAGACATAGGCAAGAGTACAAAGCTTATTTTACCAATACGAAGACAAGGTATCTAAATTATAAGCAAGGAATTAAGAGTTTAACGCGATTCTACATAGTGCCAAATAGATTAAACTACCCTTCAACCAGAGCAAGTCTGGCCCTCTTGAGGAGACCAGATGTGAGTACTATAGTCTATCAGCAGTAAATAAAACAGTACACCAGGCTATGAGAACAGACAGTCGGTGTGACATTTAATGAGCTGGGCTAGACTGACTCTGGGGTCATCACCAAGATAATTCATCACTGCCATGAAATCCACAAACTATTCATGGCATCCAGGAGAGGGTTTACCCCACTGGTCCACTTTCTAGCCCGGGCTGAGGCTGGGAGAGGAGAGCTTTGCGTTCTTCATGGCTAGGAGCTCTCCACAGGCTTGTCTGGTTCATGGGTACATTTTACAATGCATGGTTTTTGCTGTTGTTTGTTTTGAGACAGGGTTTCACTATGAACTTGCTATTAGAGCAGGCTGGCCTAGAACTCACAGTAATCTATCTGCCTCTGCTTCCTGAGTGCTGGGTTTAAAGGTATGTTTCACTGTGCCTGGCACATTTTACAAAGTAAATTCCCTGCTGCTCATAGGTTAAAAAGGTTTTCAAAAAATTCGGAAGGTAAGTCTGGGGATGTAGCTTAGTAAGCTAGCATGCACAATGCCTTGGGTCCTTTCCCCAGCAGCACAGCAGCCAGGAATGACTCTAGCATTCAGGAGGTAGAGGCAGGAGGGTTTCAGGGTGGTGGCACACACTTTCAGTTTCAGTACTCCAGAGGCAGAGGCAGATCTCTGAGTTCAAGGCCAGCCTGGTCTACAGAGTGAAATCCGGGACAGCCAAGGCTACACAGAGAAACCCTGTCTTGAAACAAACAAAACATAATAATAATAAATAATGATGATGATTAATAATAAAAAGGGGCTTGGTGTGGTGGCGCACGCCTTTAATCCCAGCACTCGGGAGGCAGAGACAGGCGGATCTCTGAGTTAGAGGCCAGCCTGGTCTACAAGAGCTAGTTCCAGGACAGCCAGAGCTACACAGAGAAACCCTGTTTAGAAAAAAAAAGTTCAAAGGTTTTGGCTATATTTCAAGGCCAGGCTTTGAGGCCAGCCTGGGATACATGAGGCCCTATCTAAAAAGAAATGAAATATGAACCAGTAACCTTTCAAAGTCAGTTTCATGACAAGCTGGGCAGCTCAGGAGCTCAGATCTGGCATTGCCCTCCACAGGAAGGCACAACCACCCAGTCTGGGAAATCAATGCCTTAGTTCTAGAAAGAACTGTTTTTTCTTCCTCTGAAAGATTTGTATGTAAGGGTCCTACTTTTTAAAAACCGTGTATGGGTGTTTTGCCTGCATGTATGTCTGTGCACCAGGTGCATGCAGTGACCATGAAAGCCAGAAGGGGGAGCTGGATCCTCTGGAACTGGAGTTACAGACAGTTGTGAGCTGCCACGTGGGTGTTTGGAATCAAACCTGAGTCCTCTGGAAGAGCAGCCAGGCTCTTCGTAACCACTGAGCCATCTCTCCAGCCCTGGTCCTGCTTCTGAAAGATCAGCAGGGTAGCAGTCCTGAAGGGTGCAAACTGGTGGCAGAGGTGTTCCAGACGGCAGAAGCGTTCCAGGGAAAATCTCTGCTTTGCCAACCTGGCTAGAGTCATCTGAGAAACAGGACGATCTTTCACATTCTGTACTTCCTCACCTAGTCACATGACCCAGGCCAACCATTTGTCCTGTTCTGATTCATGAAAGAGGGAATGCGCCAGCTTCACAAATTTTGAGGAGGCATAAATTTAAAAGAGAGAGACATGCGAAAGCCATTGCTTTGTAGTAGACACTCCATAAACACTGAGTGCATGGAAGACCACCTCGTACTAAAATGTGCAGGGCTCTGAGTCAAACAAAGTGATTGTTAAGGCTAATATTAGCCCTCCGTGCCACAGAGACAGGCTCCTCCCTTTGGGTCTCTAGGCCCGAGCCTCCTCTTGGGTTTGACCACTGCACTTCTGTGCATACTTGTGCTCAGGGCACAACCTACCATACTAAATGATGATTTAAAGGGGAAGGGACACAGTGCTCTCTAATTCCAAAATGGACCAGGAATCTACACCGAGGAGCTGACAGTCTTGTATTTTACCTTCTTCCTTAGCCCTGCCTTGAGCTCATAAAGATTGGCCTGTCTCTGCCTGTGCTAGGATTAAAGGTGTGCGCTACTGCGCCCAGCCTGCTCACAGGTTTGACTTTCTAGACCCTCTGAGAGAGCTGACTAAGGAGGTAAAAGGAACCTTACTGGGTAAGGTATCTGATGCCTGTAATCCCAGCTCTTAGGCAGAACATTGCAAATTCAAGGCCATCTTGGAGTGTGTAGTGAGTCCCAGGCTAGTCTGGGCTACAGAATGAGCCCTTCTCCCAAAAAAGAAAGAAAAGAAACCACAAATCAGGCAGTTTGCTAATGCTCCTGCCTCAACAAACTTGGATAACACCAAACTATTGGCCAAACAGTTCAGTTTCTCTCTACTCTCCTTAGGAAGTGGAAAACCGAACACTGGGGGATGGTGGCTATGGCAGAGAGGTGTGACTCTCATTGGACGCCATCAGTACTGTGAAGTGCATTGGCCGAGCCTAGAAATGCCTAGGGAGTGGGCTTTTGCTGCAGGGATGAAGGCAGAAATTGGGTCTTCTCTGGGATGCCCTGCTCTCCATTCCCGTAACTGAGATGAACCGCCCCTGCCCTGGGAGCCGGCCTGGAAGAACTGGATGGTGACGAGCGTGGCTCCATGTCCTGCAGCTCTGCCCAACAAAGTCAGCAGATAGTAAGTGTTCATCATCTCCTAACTTGTATTATAAAATGGATTTGCAATGTAAATAGTAACAAGTAAGAAACCCCCATCCTGAGTTGGGCCATCTTCGTCTCAGCCGCCCCTCCGGAGGCCGATTAGCTTGGAAAGTTTTTCACAGTTTTCAAGTTTCAGTGACTCTGCCTTCTGCCGCAGCCGCTCATCTCGATACAGCCCCGCCAGATTGGTCAGCTCTGACTCTGAAAAGACACGACAGGTGCTGGTTCACCAAGGCCGAGCGCTTTCACGTCAGTATCCCTAGACCCACAAGGCCTTACTTCCATGCCACTTTTCCACCCTGGAGGAACCCGATGGGCACTGCACCAGGTACTGAGGGGAAAGCCGCCTGGGACGAGACCCACAGTCTGTGCTCTCATAAGAGCACGAGCCTTAGTTCTTATCAACAAAACATTTGGCCCTGGGCTTAGGAAGCTTGCACAGGTGCAGAAAGAGGAGATGGTCGCGCCTTGCTCCAGTGCCGATCAGACAGCAGTGGGAGAGCCTGGAGCCGCGTCGCCTATCCCTGTCATCCGAACAAAGACAGCTGCTTCATTCTTCCCTCGGCATTGCAGGGTCCTAAGTCACACATGACACGGGGCCTACTCTGGAAGCTGAGCATCTACAGAGGGTCAGGTGGAAGCTTTCTTCATCCTCTCACCACATATAGGGTCCACAACTCAAGTGGCTCTTTTAAAAGTGAAATCATCTCAGCCCAGTGGCCTCTGTGCCCTTGACTAAATAAATTTCACTTTCTCCTCACGATAGAGTAGGCCATTCTATTTTTAGCTGGAATATAATCTCTGCTGTTTCCCAACTCCATGGTTGTTGGTCTAAGTTTTTATTCTCTTGTAAGTTCCTCCCTCTTAGGGGGAGCTCCTGAGATGCACCTTTGGAAACATGTCATGTGTGCCGCATATTAGCAGGACAGCATGCTTGGATGGGCTTCGTGGCTTCTCAGGGCTGCCAGCAGCAGGCAGCTGTTAAAGAACCATGCTTATGAAAATGCTATTTTAATCATTTTGAAATATATCTTCCATCCTTAATCATCTTTGCTGACAGCTTTTGTTTATCTTGGTAGAACAAGATACAACTACCCGAATGCAGGAATTAGCCTTCAGCCAGAAGGAACAATAGGCATGGACCTCTGAATAAATGTCTACCAACACAAAACACTGCCTGGCATTTCTGCTCACAATGATTCTATTTACACCAAGTAAGGCCCAAAGTGCAGCGGAGGTGCAGGACTCCAGGGTGGGGGTGGATGAGCATGACAACCCTCCCTGAACAATTGGACTGCAGGCCCGGACTCCAGCCAGCAGTGGCTTGGCAGGCAGTAGGTCTCCCAGGCTGCAGAACAATGTGCTTTTACCCTTGGTGCGGGTGCCCACAGTGCCTGCATGCCAGGGCCTGCCTTGGCACAATCACCTTGCAGGTGATGGGCTCTGTGGAGGGTCGTGTATAGCACCCAAATGCTAAGCTTTTGCTCCTGCACCCCACTAGGTGCTCAGCATTCCTTCCTAGGGTTCTTTGGCAGGTGGGAAGGCTACGCAGGAGACTTCTGTGAATCAGTCTGCACCTCGTTCCTTTACAGTCACAGCTACACCAGTATCCAGGACAGACTCTGTGGCTCTGCTCCTTACTGCACCAAGCCGTTTTGTTTATTGACTTTCCTGTGTCTCATTCTCGGAAGTCCTCATCAGAGGAATTAGAGACTAACGAAGTCTAGTATTTTCTATCTTGACAGCCACTGTAACAAGCTGAAGAGAGACACCTGTCACATGAGACATGGATTGCCTTCACAAAGCTCACTGAAATCGGGGCAGATAATGCTGCTTTGTAGCAATGAAGAGGCACAAGCCAAGGGCCTGCTCAAAGAATATAATACTTCTAACAAATTCTGTTAATACTCAATAACTTAAAAAATATTTTGGGGATGGAGAGATGGCTCAAAGGCTAAGAGCACTTTTTGCTCTTACAGGACCTGGTTCAATTATCAGCACTCATATGATGTTCATAACTATCCATAACTAGGTTCAGGGGAGCCAATGCCCGCTTCTGACCTCTGTAGACACCACACACACATGTGGTGCACAGACATACATGCAGACAAAACATTCACATATAAAATAAAATGAACGAATCTTTAATAAAATTACGAGTATGCTTCATATAGTGTATGTATGTACACCATGCACCAACACACAGAGCTGCGGTCAGAAGAGGGTGCTGGATCCTTTGGAGCTGGGGTTACAGTTATGAGTCACTCCACATTTGTGCCGGGAATGGAGGCCTCGGAAGAGCAGTGAGTGCTCTGAACCACTGAGCCGTCGCTCCGGCCCCAGCACTCAATAACCGCTAAGTGAAGTGAAAGAAAAATGTCTTTGGAAGAAGCAGGATCAAGAAAATACAGTTTCTCCTTAACAAAGGAGAAAACAAAGCAAAGAAGAAAAAAATGTCCTCTTTAATTGTAACTAGCCACGACCCAGGCCCAGGGGACACTGTCCTTCAATCTACTGTGTGAAGCTGTATAAGCCTGGGTTTCACTATGTGCCAGGCCCTGCACTAAGCTACACATACATACACACACACACACACACACACACACACACACACAAAACCTCTCAGTAGGAAATGAATTCTTTCCCCCACTTCAAAGCCAAGGATTCTACCCACTCTGTCTGCTCAAAGGGATGGAAAGAAGTGCTCAGTCCAGGTCAAGACTCACTCAGTCCCCCTGCCCCGGGCTGGGAGGCGGTTCCTGACGGCCACTTGTATCCCACCCAGCACGACGCGGCCTCTCTCCCTGGCAGTACGTAGAACATGTAGACATCATCCATAGTAAAGGATTATTCACAAAAAAATCACCCATATTAGGCATTCCAGGGAAAAGCAAATAAAGGAATAATAAAGATTTTCAAAGACAATGGCTACCCTTGATAAAATTTCCATTTGGTACTTTGCCAAGAGTGAACTTTGTTCTCAAGTGAGTTTATTTTTACAAACTCAAAGTGCTAAATTTAACCTTCCTGGCTGCACTTGCTGCTGGATTCAGAGGGCAGATGCTGCTTCTCAAATGGCACTGGAGTGGTGTGGAGGCTCCACACACCCATTGTGTTTAAATGCTAGGAACAGAACCTCCATTCAGAACTGATGATCCGCACACATCAGGCTCATTCATGGAGTTGTATGTGGGGGGCTGTTTTTAACTGAGGGTGGATCCTAGGACTTCATATATACTGCTGGGTATACCACCAAGTCATACCCTCAGTTCTTTTTTAAAACAGAACAAAACAAAAAAGCAAAATGAGATAGCGCTTATTAAGTTGCCCAGGCTAGCCTTGAACTCACTCTGTAGCCACGGCAGGTCCTGAATTTGTGATCCTCGTGCTTTAGCTTCCCAGAGATTACAGGGCGGGATTACAGGCCTGTCCTACCAGCTGTGGCTCTCACAGAGTCTTCACTTGTGCCTGGACAGAGCCACAGATCTGAACAAGCCTCGTGTGGACAGGAACAAAAGCTCAAACACCACTCTTGGGGAAATCTTTCATCTTTTTGCATTGCATCTTAATGCTGCAAAGTAGAATACGAAACATGTGCATGCACAAGCGTGTGTGTGTACACCTGTGCTTGTGTGTTTATGTGCACATGCATATGTATGTGGTGTCATATGAGTTCTTATGTGTGTGAGGGTCTGAAGAATGCAAAATGAAGATTTTCGTGTAGTTCCTGCAGAAAGCAATAAATCCAAACCATTCCTGTGCCCATCACAGAGGGGCTGGTAAGGACACATTACTGTGGCTTTCATCGGATTTAGATCCACATAGATTCTTGCTCCTAAATTTTTTCCTGGGGTAGGTCTTGCTGGGAAACATCTTTAAGTCCAGCACTCAGAAGCAGAGGCAAGAGAATCTCTGAGTTTGAGGCCAGCCTGGACTATATACCAAACACTTTCCCTATTTCTTTTTCTTCCTTTCTTTCTTTTCAAATTCCCTTTATTTATTTTTTGTGTGTGCATACCCTCATGCATGAACCATATCATGTACGTGGTAGTCAGAGAGCAACTTGTGGGAATCAGTTCTCTCTCTCCACTTCTGGGTCCTGGACTGACCTCAGGTCAGGCTTGGTGTCAAGAGCCTTTACCCACTGACCCACCTCACCAACCTGATTTTTTTCCTAAGACAGAGTCTTACTACTATGAATCTCAGTCTAACCTTAAACTCAAAATCTTCCTCTCTCTGCCTCCCTAGTGCTGGGATCTCAGGCCTTCCTATACCACCACACACAGATCTTTCCTGATTTTTAAAAGATAAAATCCAATTTAAACAGCCCAGTCTGCATAGTGAGACCCTGTCTCAAAAAACCCCAAACAAACAAAATTAATTTAACAATGAAGTATTTAACTTCCCCTCATTTGGGGGGTAGCCAGCTTTGCCCTGTAGAAATGGAGGGCAGAGGCGAAGTCCCTGAGGGGAGGGATAAGACACCAGCACCGAACCGTTCCTCACACTCCTCCTCAGCGCCCTGCTTTGCAGTAGGAGAATCTTCTCTGGCATGTGTGGAGCTCCTGTCCTGAAGTCAGGACTGTGCCTGCAGCCCAGGACACAGAATTAGTAAGATAGTCTGCTTCTGGGGCCAGCAGTCCGGAGAGGGAACCGGCATGCACCTATGGACCACTAATGCTGTTGATCAGTACCGTGCTAGCAGGAAGAGCAATGTGCTTTAAACACAGGAAGGGTGGGTTAACTCGGTGGGAGGCAGGAGGACGGAGGGGTCAGCAAGGACTCAGAAGCACTATGACCAAAGGACTAATTTTATCAGTATACACTTAAAGACATCTAGAAATAAAGCTTAAAAGATGCGGTATAGTTTGAAGAATAATCGACCAGAGCCCAGTTTGCAAAGCCAAGATGCAGTTACTGTGTGTGTGTGTGTTTCTAAACTGTGCACGGGGGCAGTTTGATTGGAATTTAAAATGAAACTACTGGCTGAGACAGGGCTACTGCCAGGACGCCCCGTAAAACCTGGAGCGGTAAGCCAAGCGGGAGACACTGTCTCTTGTGAGTGGAAGAAAAGAAAGCTCTTTCCCATCCACACTACTGAGAAGCCAGACAGGAGTCACTCTTCTTCTATGCACCCACAAGCAACAAGACACCAGATTCCAGGTTAACAACTTCTTTTGTTGTTACTGGATTTTGTTTTGTTTTGCTTTTTTGAGATAGGGTCTCGCTGTGTAGTTCTGGCTGTCCTAAAATTCTGTAGACCAGGCTAGTCTCTAACTCCTAGAATCGCCTGCCTCTGCCTCCCGAGTGCTGGGATCATGGTATGTGCCACCACTGCTTGGCTCAAGCCAGCAACTAAACTTCTGGTATCACTCAAAAAGGGAGGCTGGCTCAATCAAATTTCTTACTAGGGAATGTGTGATTTAGGGACTGTGAAGGAAACCAGATAGCACTGAGAACTTTATGAAGAAGCTTGGGATGCAAAATGGGTTCAGTGACTGGTGAGGCTGGGGACCTTACGACATCAACAAGAGCAACAGTTAGGATGCACGGAGTCCCACAGGTGTCCTCTGACTGTCACACACATGTTGTACATTTGTACACAGCCTTTCTTCTTCTTCTTCTTTTTTAATGTGCATTGGTGTTTTGCCTGGATGTATATCTATGAGAGGGTGTTAGATCATGGAGTTGCAGGCAGTTGTGATCTGCCATGTGAGTACTGGGAATTGAATGTGGGTCCTCTGGAAGAGCAGGAGGTGCTCTTAACCTCTGAGCCATCTCTTTAGACTCTTGTACATGTTCTTGCACAGATAAAAGTAATTTTTTGAAAAAAGAAAAAAAAAGGTAGGTAGTAAGACAGAAGAACTAGTGCATACCTATAATCTAAGTCCTCAGGAGGATCAAAAATCCAGGGCTGCATAACAGCAGGTTAGAGGCAGAAACAGGCAGATTTCTGAGACCAGCCCGAACTACACAGTGAGTAGTCACAAGTCAGGGATGGGCGGTGGTGGCTCACGTCTTTAATCCTAGCACTTGGGAGGTAGAGGCAGGCGGATCTCTGTGAGTTCGAGGCCAGACTGGTCTACAGAGTGAGTTCCAGACAGCCAGGACTGTTTTACAGAGAAACTCTGTCTTGAAAAACAAAAAACAAACAAACAAGTCAGTTAGGGCTATGTAATAAACCCATCCCCCTGTGGGGGGCAGGCAGCAGAGAGAAGAAGATACAATAGGAGAATACAATGATGCCCAAGTTCCTAAGTTTCCAGTCCTGGTCACATGTCAATAAATGTCCATTCTTTGCAGTATTATCTGAGTGAGTGTCTGCTCTGTCTCTGTTTAAGGAGGGGGTCAGAAGGCTGGGAGACCTCATAACAGCCTGCTTGGCCTTACTTACTTTGCTGTTTCTCCTTCCAACAGCTTGTCTGAATGTAGTCAATATAGTCTTTCTCTATTGTTTTCTCCAGGTCACGAAGAGAAGCTCCTCTGTAGGCCTTGTCAAAGTTTTTATCCACGAAGTAAGGCACCTGCAGGTTCTGCGTTTCTCTAGAAATGGTATAGCCCAACGTTCTGAAACAGAGAGTGGCTCACATCAGCTAGTGCTACTTGTCAATCTTACTCTTAGATGGCCTCTAAACATGACTGCCAGCATCTCCCAACATTTGTTAGTTACTATAGGCAGTGGGAGGCAGGAGTACGGATGGGTCAGCAAGGGCTTAGAAGCACTGTGACCAAAGATTGAAAGCAAGCAATTTGACAATTACCGAAGTAGCTTACAGTTTATTCTCTCTCTCTTTTGGTAGGGTGTAGCAGAAGAGGGTATCTGATCCCATAGGACTCCGGTTATGGTTGTGAGCATGTGGTGCTGAGAGTTGAGCTCAGAACCTCTGTAAGAGCAGTCAGTGCTCTTAACTAGAGCACCTTTCCAGCCCAAGGCTCGCCTTTCTTACAAGTCTTTCTGTGTGAAAAGTAGAATGACTAAACCTTTAAAAGTTTGTTTTGAGGGTTGTAGATGTGGCTCAGTTGGTATAATGTTTGCCTAACATACAGGAAACCCTGGGCTTTTTCCTAGTACCAAATAAAACTAGCAGTGGCACACCCCTGTAGAAGGAGGATCAGAAGTTCAAGGTCATCCTCAGCTACTCGGGGAGTCCAAGCCTAGTCTTGGCTGTATGAAACCATGTCTTAGAATAATTTGTGGAGGGCATGGCACTGGGGAAATGGCTCAGCAGGTAAAGGTTTTAGCCATGTAAGCCTGAGGATCTCAGTTTGATACCTGGAACCCATGTAAAAAGCCAGACAAAGTGGGAAGCATCTGTAATCTCAGCACTTCTCCAGTAAGGTGTGAAGTAGACCAGAGAGTTGGCTGGAAGCTAGCCTGGAATATGAAACAGTGGCAGAAACAAGAGAGACCTGTCTTAGTAAGGTGCTGTGGGATAATGTTCTTGCACACTGTTAAGATTTCTCACTTGTATAGGTTTAATGTTGATTGTCCAGTAACCAGGCAGGAAATATAGGTGGGACAAGCAGACTAGGAGAATCCTGGGAGGAGGAAAGGCAGAGACCAGATGCAATTGCAAGCCAGATGCAAAAGGAAGCAAGATGAGAATGCCTTACTGAAAAAAGGTACCAAGCCACGTGGCTAAACATAGATAAGAGTTATGGGTTAATTCAAGTTGTAAGAGCTAGTTAGTAATAAGCATGAGCCAATAGGCCAAACAGGTTTTCAAGACAAGGTTTCACTGTGTATCTTTGATTGTTCTGGAATTCTCTCTCTGTAGATCAGGCTGGCCTCGAACTCACAGAGACCCGCCTGCCTCTGCCTCCCGCGTGCTGGGATAAAAAGCGTGCACCACCACCATCTAGCTAAGTCTTTCATCTTTTAAGCTGTTACTAAGGAAAAAAATTAGAAATATTCCACTTACGATTTATAGAATAGACTATATGGGGGGTTAGTGGCCAGTAGCTGAGTAATGACAGAAATAATCACAATCACCAGAACTGGAAGCAGCTGAACAAATGCGGAATATGGAGTCTGTAAAAGAAAATAGTGAAGTGTGTGAGAATACACCATTCCAAAGGAATACAGATTATTAATGCACTGCACAGGAGTGTCCACAAGGTCAAGGTTTGCCCAAAGGCCCAACTTCAGCTTAGAACCAAATAACTCATTTTCTCTCTGGAGAGAGGCTAAAGGAAGCCCCTCCGACCTGGACCATCAATAATACCGCTGTCCCTTATCTCTAGGTAAGCCTGCCAGACACAGATGGGACTCCAGCAGTGGCCAGTGTTAAGCAGCTCTTATTCTGCTGTTGCTGTTCAAAACTGGTGACATCCAACTGTGTCAAAGACGACCACATTCTCCCTTGACAATGTGGGGTCGAGGTTCATCACACATCTTATTAACTACTGTTTGGAGAAAGGGCACATTCTCTACGGGTTGTGAACAAGCCAGAGGCATAATATGTTGTTGTTGCTGTTTTTGAATATGTACACGAGTGTTTGGCCACCATGATAGCTCAGAAGTCAAGGGGCTACCAAGCCTGAGAACCTGGGTCTGATCCCAGCAGCACTGCCTTTTGAGCTTCCTGTGAGACTCTCCTGGTCAGCCTGGTCCACAGAGCGAGCTCCAGGATAGCCAGGGTTACACAGAGAGAACCTATCTCAAAACAAACAAACAAACAAAAAAAAAAAACCTTAAGAGACAGAGAAAGGAAGGAAGGGGGGAAGGGAGGGAGGGAGGGAGGGAGGGAGGGAGGGAGGGACAGAAAGAAAATACAGCCTTACAGGAAAACTAGGATCCTAGGAAAACATGAAAAGGGATCAGGGATGGAGGATTACTAACACTGTCCAATTCGGGATACTTATCCAGCTCTTCTATCAAAGCATAAAGTACGTTTTAGCAGCATAGCTCAATTGCACTTCTAGGACTGATTATATACCACAGGAGCAGGCTCAGGATGGCCATGAGCAGGAGCTCGACTGCACACACACCTGAGGTTTGTCTTCTTCCTCTCTCTTGTGTGTCTGTGTTCTCTCATGGCGGGGTCGCCTGTGATAATAGTGACTGTCATCTGTCACATTTGAGAACATGTGAATATTTCCTGGAAAACAGATATTAGAGAGAGGGAAGGAGAAAAGGAGAGAGAGAACATTTATGAGATGGCAATTCCCTTTTGGTTCTTTTCAAAGTCTTGTTCCCAAGAAGGCAAAAGATAGGGCATCTGCCTATCTGGCCCAGCAGAAAAAGAAGACAATAGGTGAGCCAAAGGGCCAGCTGGACAGGGGGTGTGCAAGGTCCTCTGGAAGAGCAGTCAGTGCTTTTAACCGCTGAACCATCATCTTCCCAGCCCAGGCACTACCATCTTTAATAGCCACTCATAAAATTCAGTTTATTGCCGGGTGGTGGTGGTGCATGGCTTAAATCCTAGCACTTGGGAGGTAGAGGCAGGTGGATCTCTGTAAGTTTGAGGCCAGCCTGGTCTACAGAGTTCTAAGACAGTCAGGGCTGTTCCACAGAGAAATCCTATCTTAAAAAACAAAAACAGCAAAAACAAAAAAAATACAATTTGTGCTGGTGTGTAGCTTAGCATGGGATACATGCCTACCATGCTGGAGGTTCTGGCTGCATCCCTAACAACACAAAAATTCAACTTACTATCTTTTTTTTTGGTCTTCTTTCTCTTTCTTTTTTTTTTTTTTTTTTTTTTTGACAAGGTTTCCCAGTCAGCAGCTATGGAGCCAGTCCTGGAACTCACTCTCTACACCAGGTTGGCCTCAGATTCACAGAGATCTGCCTATCTCTGCCTCCTGAGTGCTGGGATTAAAGGTGTGTGCCACCACCTCCTGGCTCATCGTGATTTTTTAAAAAGATTTATTTTTATGTATATGGGCATGTGGTGTTTTTATGAGAATGGATCCCACAGGTTTATGCATTTGAATGTTTGGTCCCCTGTTAGTGGAACTATTTGGGAAGGATTAGGAGGTGTGGCCTTGCTGAAGTAGCTGTGGTCCTGTTGGAAGAGACTGTCAGTGGGGTTGGGCTTTGAGGTTTCAAAAGTCCACGCCAGGCTCAGTTTCCCTGCCCCTGACTGCTGCCTGTAGATCATGCTGCGGAGTTCTCACTACTGCTCTATTGCCATGCCTTCCCATCATGAAGATAATAAACTAGCCCTCTGAAACTATAAGCAAGCCCCTAATTAAACACCTACTTTTATAAGAGTTGCCTTGGTCACAATGTCTCTTCATAGCAACAGAACACTGGCTAAGACAGGGTGTTTTGTCTGCTTGCATGTCTGTGCACTATATGTACACAGTACCCACGGAGGCCAGAAGGCATCACAAGGATGCACCTGGAGAAGGAGTTACAGATGGGAGTAAGGTGTGTGTGTGTGTGTGTTGGAAATTGAACCCAGGTCCTCTACATGGGCAAGTGCTCTTACTACTAAGCCATCTCTCCAGCTCCAAATTTATGTGTTTTTGTTTGCTTAAATATTTATTTTATGTTGCTGGGTGTGATTACACATATCTTTAATCCTCACACTCAAGGCAGAGGCAGGTAGATCTCTGTGAGCTTGAGGCCAAACTGAACTACAGAGCTTTCCAGAACAGCCAGGCCTACATAGAGAGACCTTGTCTTAAAAGAACAATAAATATTTATTTATGGGCTTTATTTAACCTTTTTTATCTTTTATTTTACATACCCACCACAGTTTTCTCTCTCTCCTCTCCTCCCATTCCCTCCCCTCGACTCCCCCCAACCTCCAGAGCTCAAGTGTTTCTATCTGTATACATGTGTACCACATGCAAGTCTGCAGAAGTCAGTCCCTTGGAGCTGGAGTCACAAATGTTTGTGAGTCACCATTCGAGCACCAGGGCTCCAGCCTAGGTCCTCTTAAAGAGCAGCCAGTACCCTCACCCACTGAACCCCAGATAATTATTTTGTTTTTGTTTTGTTGTTGTTGCTGATGGTGGTGGGTTTGTTGTTGTAGTTTGGTTGGTTTTTCTTTTTGGTTTTGAGAGACAGGGTTTCTCTGTGTAGCTCTGGCTGTCCTGGAACTCACTCTGTAGACCAGGCTGGCCTTGAACTCACAGAGATCTGCCTGCCTCTAACTCCTAAATGCTGGGATTAAAGTCATGTACCCCACTGCCTGACGGAACTTTTGAAAATATTACATTTATTTATTTTAGATTGTGTTTGTATGTGTGTGCACTCCCACATGTGCACGTGTGTATATGCATACAAATCACATGTATGGAGGCTAAAGGACAACGTTCAGGAACTGTGTCTCTCCTTCTACCATGTCCGACCCAGAGATAAACTCACGCCTTCAGGCTCGGTGGGAAGTGCCTTTACCTGCTGAGTCATCTCACTAGCCCCAGCATTAATTTTTATACATGAATATCACATACTTAGGCCATATTCACTTCTCTCCTTTATTTTATCTTGTCTCTCCCTCTCCCTGGTCCCCTCTTTTCTCAAAGAACATTTGTGTTGGGGGAGGTCTAACTTCTTTGTAACTGTAATTCTGTGATGATGACATTAATGAAAGGTATTTAGTCTGTAAGCTCTCTGTAACTACCTGACCCTGATGGGCATGCCTAGCCCTTGAGCCAGGCACAGCAGTACAGTCTGCAACCACAGCCACTGGAAAGGCTGAGATAAGAGGACAGCAAGTTCAAGGCTCTTGTGGGTACACAAGGGGTTCAAAACCAGCCAGAGCACTTAGACTTTGCCTTGGGTTCAGTCTCTATATCATATGAATATATATATATTCATATATATATATTCAAATATATATATATAATATTTCCCAGCAGTCCTGAAATATCAGCTCCATTTTTCAGGTGGGTGACTACAGTAAAAGAAAATCAGATGATATGGTCAAAATTCTGCACAGCTGGAGGCTAGAGACTTCGTCACCTTCCACTCAGCTCACTCCGAATTCTTGCTGTTTCTCTAGCACGGATGTTCTTCTATTCAGATCTTCAAACAAGAATTTGCTGAGATCCATAAATAAATTGTGGAAAGAATCATAATTTTAGCCTGGTATGGTAGCACACACCTTTAATCCCAGCACTCAGGAGGCAGATGCAGGCAGATCTCTGAGTTCAAGGCCAGACTGGTCTATAGAGTTCCAGGACAGCCAGGGCTATACAGAGAAACTCTGTCTTTAAAAAAAAAAAAAAAATCAGGGCTGGAGAGATGGCTCAGAGGTTAAGAGCATTGCCTGCTCTTCCAAAGGTCCTGAGTTCAATTCCCAGCAACCACATGGTGGCCCACAACCATCTGTAATGAGGTCCGGTGCCCTCTTCTGGCCTTCAGGCATACAAATAGACAGAATATTGTATACATAATAAATAAATAAATATTTAAAAAAAATCATAGTAATTTTAATTTTAAGATAATAACCTCAAGTCAGCTGGCATATGCCTTTAATCTCAGCACTCGGGAGACAGAGGCAGATGGATCTTCGTGAGTTCGAGACCAGCCTGGCCTACAGAGATAGTGCCAGGACAGGCTCCAAAGCTACACAGAAAAATCCTGTCATGGGGGAGAGGGGGAGGGATAATAACCTTGGGCTGGAGAGAAGACTCAGTGGTCAAGAGCACTGGCTGCTCCTCCAGAGAACCCAACATCCACAGCCACTCACAAAAAGTGATTCTTGCTCCAGGGTTGTCCTCTTCTAACCTTTGTCACCAGATACACATAGGGTACACAGACATACATGCAGGCACCAGACACACAGAAGGCACATAGACATACATGCGGGTACCAGACACACAGAAGGCGCATAGACATACATGCGGGTACCAGACACACAGAAGGCGCATAGACATACATGCAGGCACCAGACACACAGAAGGTGCATAGACATACATGCGGGCACCAGACACACATAAGGTGCATAGACATACATACGGGCACCAGACACACATAAGGTGCATAGACATACATACGGACGGGCACCAGACACACAGAAGGTGCATAGACATACATGCGGGTACCAGACACACATAAGGCGCATAGACATACATACGGGCACCAGACACACAGTAGGCTCATACACATACATGCAGGCACCAGATACACAGAAGGCACATAGACATACATGCAGGCACCAGACACACATAAGGCGCATAGACATACATGCGGGCACCAGACACACATAAGGCGCATAGACATACATGCAGGCACCAGACACACATAAGGTGCAAAACTTAAAAAAAAAAAATACCAACCTGAAGGAAAATGCCCTCCAAAGAACACATTGAATAGTTCCTCTGGAGAGATGTCAGCTTCGAAATCCCGGTAATAATGGTAAGATCTGGCTCGAGGTGCAGTGAAAGTCACCTGCTCATCTCCATACTGATCATAGCGGAGTCTCTTGTCGGGATTGCTCAGGACCGCAAAGGCATTTCCTATTGCTGCAACCAACAAGAAGCAGCACATGAGCACATCCTTGGCTGCGCCTGGGGGTGACCAGTGCAGCAGCGGTGGCAAGAGGCCCAGAGCGGGTGCTAGACCGCTGCACAGAACTCCAAAGAGAGGTACTTAGGCCTACAAAGTTTCCCTGAAGGACTTCCCCAGAGATTGCTCATAATCTTGATAAAACAGAAACAACACTAGCACCCAACAACTAGGAACTGTTACTGAAGTGAGCATTAACCCCTAGCCAATGTTCTCATGTCATTCCAGCTGTCCTGACATTGGGGCCCTGCCCCTACCCGAGGCTGCCAATAATGTCAGAATGTTGAAGGAATGCCTAACGTTCCTGTTATTCAAAAATAGAATTTGGGGGGCTGGAGAGATGGCTCAGAGGTCAAGAGCACTTGCTGTTCTTGTAGAGAAGCCAGGTTCAGTTCTCAACGTTGCAATAGGTACCGACAGCTGCCTGTAACTCTAGTTTCTGGGGTTTTGACACCTGTTCAGGCCTCTGTGGACATCTGTACACATAGACAAATAAGCACACACAAACAGAAACAGATTTTAAAATAAAGGTGTTCTGCCAGGCAGTGGTGGCGCACATCTTTAATCCCAGCACTCAGGTTGCAGAGGCAGGTGGATCTCTGAGTTCAAGGCCAGCCTTGTCTACAGAGAGAGTTCCAGGACATTCAGAACTACACAGAGAAACCCTGTCTCAAAACACCACAAAAACAAACTAACAAAAGCCTGAAAGGCTCACCAGAGGCTCACTTGAGCACACTCTAGGAAACAGTCTTCTGAATCTGAGAAATGTACCTGCAAGAGCGGAACATTATACCTGTAATCCTAGCATTGAGATGGAGGAGGACCAAGTGCTCAAGGCCACCCTTAGCTACGTGGCCAGTTTGAGGACAACCTGGGCTTAAGTCTCAGAAAAGCAAAACAGGCAGGTAGAGGCTCTTCTGCCCTCCTTGTACATGCTGTGGCATACACATGCTTACGCTCACACCACACACAGATTCAGGTGTCTGCTGGTGTCAATAGTCAGAAGGAGTACTTTGTTAGGATTCTTCTACAAAACTCTAATAATGTTTGCATTAAAACTAGCTAAGCAGAAAAACACTGTCTCAAAAAAAAAAAAAAAAAGCCAGAGCTCTTAACACTGAGCTATCTCTCCAGCGGTGCCCACAAGACAGTTTAGTGAGTAAAGGCACTTGTCATTTGGCCTGATGGCCTGAGTGAAATCTTTGGAAGTCACATGGTCTACATGGAACCACATGGAATGAAGCAACTCTTACAAGCTGTCCTCTGGCCTTCAGACACCCACACACCCATATCCACACAAATAAAAAAGACTTGCAAGTTTTTTCAAATCTTTTTTTCTTCTTTTTCAAAATATCAAACATACAGAAAGGTTTATGGGGTTATGTTTTGTTTTGGTTTAGTACAATAAAGACATAGAAGCTGGGCCTGGTAGAATGATGAGAAGGAAACAGCAGGACAAGTCCGGAAGAAGGCACTGCTCTTCTCCCTGGGCTAGGATGAGGCTCTGGGAGTCACTGACTCATACAGTGGTCAGTTTTCTCAAAGGAAGAAGGCATAGGTCCACTAGCCTTGAAATTTGCTGTGGTCTCAATTGGTGGGCAGTGCAATTCACCTTTTCCCAAGGAGCAAGAACAGCAATCGCCTTCAGGAGTCCAGTTCCGCCTTGCTTCACAGCACACAAACTCCTCGCCCTCCATTTCTCTGCCACCTGCCTGCTTGCTTCTTTTTCTCCCATTGCTCCACCACCCACTCACTTCCCAAGTGCTCAGCTGTGTGCTGGGCTGCGGTGCTGTCTCTGTGCTTCCTGGACTGTCTGTCCTCTGCACACACCAGGGGCAGCAGGGTGGGCTTCTCGATTGATTAATTCTTAGTATTTTATTACATTGTAACTCTCCATCAAGGGCTAGAGAGATTTAGGTCACCGCTATAGCCACTGGCTTCAATCCCTAGCACAGCAAGCAATCCAAGCAGGAGACAAAGCTGGTTGGTATTCAGCTGTCTCTATATAAACATTATTATACTGATTTTCTTGAGGATTTTAGATCAGTATTCTGTTTGTCTGTTAGTTTGTTTTTCGAGAAAGGGTTTCTCTGTGTAACAGCTCTAGCTGTGCTGGAACTCACTCTGTAAACCAAGCTGGCCTTGAACTCACAGAGATTTGCCTGCCTCTGCCTTTGCTGGGATTAAAGACATGTGCCACCACTGCCTCACTGTATGGTGAAGAAAACAAGCATGCCAATAACATGTAACATGAACAAGGAGTTCCCTGGTCACAGAAGTTTGAAGCGCTCCTGGAAGCCATGTGAAAGCAGTTCCCGACCTCGAAGTGTCACAGGACATGCCAACTTGATTCATTCACTCGTTATCTAGAAGGTCATCTTAAAAACAAGTTTTAAAATGTATGTGTATGTATAAGTGAGCAGCTGCAAAGGCCAGGAGAGGACACTAGGTCTCTGGCGATGCCACTCGTCTTATAGGAGCTGCTTGACAAAGCTCCAGTGCTCGGACGACTTGGACTGACCCTTCACAGCCCTGGTGGGATTTCCTACACAACTCTTGCCTGTGTCTTTGAAATGCTTGGTGTTTGACTTCACTGCTGTGAAGAGCCCCTCACTTAAGGCTAGAACTGGGATAATGTAACAATTCTTATAAAAGCTGACGTTAGTAAGAATAAAATTTATGATGGTTCCCTAGGAGAATTAGTTAGGCAAGATATTGAGTCTTCTATAGAATCTACTACTTAGGTGGTATTAGTAAGTATGAGACAGGATTTGGAAAAAAATCATTAAAGAAGAAAAACTCAGGGAAATTTTAGAAGCTGACTTCTAACTGAATCATTGGGTGTTCATGTTCTGTCTCAGAAACACGAAACTAGCATGGGCAGGAAAAGATTGTGATTATGATATTAATGACAGGTCTGGTGCCCTCCTGAGCAAAGCAAGCAGTTTTAGGAGGCTTGATGTTCTTCTGCTCATTGCAGGATTGTGATAAAGATAGAAACCATGCTGAAAACAAGGGTTTATGACAGAGACACAAAGAGAAACATCTGGCTCAGTGAACTGCCTGGCTTCCTGAGGAGACTCACAGATCAGGACTTCTCTGACTATAGGAGGAATAAAGCGAAGAGCATGGTACTTCAGAGGTCAAGGGAAAGGATGGCGGTCTTACAGTAGATATAAAAGAAAGAATCTAGCCAGGCGGTGGTGGCGCACGCCTTTAATCCCAGCACTCGGGAGGCAGAGGCAGGCGGATCTCTGTGAGTTTGAGGCCAGTCTGGTCTACAAGAGCTAGTGCCACGACAGGTTCCAAAAGCTACAGAGAAACCCTGTCTCAAAAAATCCAAAAAAAAAAAAAAAAAAAAAAGAAAGAATCTAAACAAGGGAGCAAGAAATTAGATTTCAGTAGAAAGATCAGCTATTCACATTACAGTAGATTAATAAATAATACAGTAGAAGCTTGATATAACAGGTAGGAGGAAATAAGTTCTGATCTATGAACTTAGCCAAACAAATAGAGACATCTTTGTTCTAAGTTTTGTAACCACAGACTTTTACAACACCAATTAAAAAAAGTTGAGTTAAAAGAATTGATTTTATCATAATGTTAGTTTTCAGTTCTCATTAAATTCACTGTTCTGTTTTTATACTTTGATATGTTTACGTAATCAAGGAAGACTTTAGAAAAAGTATGTAGCATGAAAAAGACTTTGTAATCAATGTTAAAGTCTATGGGGAAATGATTTTGACTCTAAATAAAGTCTATGATGACTGGGCAGTGGTGGCGCACCCCTTTAATCCCAGCACTCGGGAGGCAGAGGCAGGAGGATCTCTGTGAGTTCGAGGCCAGCCTACTCTATAGAGTGAGTTCCAGGACTCGCTACACAGAGAAACCCTGTTGTTGTTGTTTTTTTTCCGAAAAAACACAAATTAATTAATTAATTAATTAATTAATTAAAGCCCATGAGAGGTGCAGGTTGTCAGAGTAGGTCAAGCCATCCAGAGATGTGCTTCCTCTCTGTCCATCTTCCGTGAAACAAAACTAAGGGGTGTCCTGTGTCTGATTTCTCTGTTGCTGCCCTTGCATCCACCAACTTAGATGTTTGAAAAAGAAGTTGGAAAAGATGTAAGATGTTGGTACACTAAGCATGGCCCTAAAGAGATGCCTATTCAAGCATTTCTTTTATTAAACAAGCCCTGTCTGCAGAAGAAGGGACAGATCTCCCCGACAACGTTTCTGAAAGAATTTCTCTCGTTAACATAAAATCTCCTTCTAAGCCTCCTGCACTAAAACATGGAGATTTAATTGATCTGTTAAATAATGACTCAGAAGAATCTGATCCTGAGGATGCTCCTTAGGAGCCCTCAGATCCTCATGATGCCCAGGATTTAGAAGAAGCTGCGAGATCATGATAAAGATTGGCCTCCCCTTATGATAAGTCATCTGTTCCTCCTCTTAGAAAAAAAAGAAACCAAACATCAAAGCTCAGGACTCAAGCTTTCTGGCACCTCTTTTAAGATTCTCCCCTCTTATTTATGGGGACAAAGAGGATAGAAATGATGAACCTTCCTGAGAACCACTGCCTTATGAGCTTGTTAAAGAACTACAGGAGGCAGTTGCCAGCTATGGGCCACATCACCTGATGTTACCGCACTTTTGAAGAACTTTGGTACTTATTGGGTGATTCCTAATGATTGGCATCAACTGGCTAAAGTGTGCCTACCAGGACATTTCTTATCATGAAAGGAGGAATACGAGGAAGAAGTCAAAAAGGAAGCTGGCATCAGAAAGAGAAGAGGATCTAGATCTTTCTATGCTGTTGGGAGTGGGCCAATGGACTGATCCCAGGTAACAGCTAAACATACCCAGAAAGGTTCGCTTTTGATGTCTGATTTGGTTATTGCTGCTTGGAGAAATCTGCCTACTTCTACTCTTTCTTCCCAGGAGGTGGCTAATATAAAACAAAAAAGGGGATTGAGCCTTATGAGTCATTTATCTCTCGGCTCACTGATGCTATGACCAGACACCTCAGGAGCAGGCTTCAGAAGTAATTATCAAACAACTGGCCTATGAGAATGTTAATACTGCCTGCAAAAGCCATTGGTAAAAATCTGTCAGAAGACTGGGAACTATTTCAGATTATCTGAAGGATTGTGTTGATTTCACCCCCTCTTTTGCTCAGGGCATAGCTATTGCTGCTGCCACCCTCCAAGGTAAAACAACTACTCAGTTCCTCAGAGGTAGCCCCACTTCCCAACTAGGGAATGAGGGGCCTTGTTTTTCCATGGTCAGAAAGGACATATAAGCTGAGTCCTAATAAAACTCAAAGAGGACCTGTGAATTCGAAGCCCACCTGGTCTATAGAGCTAGTTCCAGGACAGGCTCCAAAACTACAGAGAAACCTTGTCTCAAAAAAAAAAAAAAAGTTAACCACTGAAGAACTTAAGCCTTTATTTGACATCCTTGTCTCCTTGTTCCTTAACTGATGAAGCAAAAAAGGCACTGACAATTGTGGAACAGGCTATTAATAAACAGCAATTACAAAGCATAAAACTTGATGAACCATGGGATCTAATAACATTGCCTACTGCTCATAAACCTATGGGTGTATTACAGCAAATGGTCTCTTGTCTACCTGTCACTCTCACAGACAAATGATTTTACATCGTTTGCCTAGTCGCCCTTCGTTGCAATTCTTTTTTTTTTTTTTTTTTTTTTTTGGTTTTTCGAGACAGGGTTTTTCTGTAGTTTTGGAGCCTGTCCTGGCAGTAGCTCTATTTAGACCAGGCTGGCCTCGAACTCACAGAGATCTGCCTGCCTCTGCCTCCTGAGTTCTGGGATTAAAGGCGTGCGCCACCACTGCCCAGCGCCCATTTGTTTTTACACCAATTCTGTTTCCCCATTTACTGGTTGGTTTTTGGTTACCCAACATACTTTGGTTGCTGATTTCCCTGGTGGAGTAACTACTACCTCTGATAACAAATATGTATATAATAGAAATCTTTGGACTCTATAAATTATGCTTCCTGCCCTTAAGGATAGTAAATATGAGACTACTCTTTGGCCATTGCCTTCTGGAACCTTGCTTGTCCTGACCCTTCAACACTGGGTAATGACGGACACATATTGCCTCTAGAGAAACTTTTCCTAAATGGTTTTCTTGTGGCTTTGCTACTAACTTTTGCTATTAACTGTACATTATTATCCTTTTAATGCCTCCTTAATAACCCTAGTTTTGATTATAAAACATATTTTGAATCTAACAGACAAAAAGTTATTTATGACCCTCAATCCTTATTCCCTCAAACTTTTACTGCTTGGTGCACCCCTGGTTGGCCTGCTCCAACTCCTAGTCCTCCTCTCTCTGTAAATGTCCTTTACAAAAGCATTTATTCTGCCTCTTGCTGCTACCCACAAAGCCTGTTGTACAAACCTGGATTCATCACTAAATCCACCCGTGCTTCTGTTGTAGCCCCCTTTGCTGTCCTTCATCGAGGACCTCAAGGTTCTCTTTTTACTTTCCATGACCAACGTGGTTCCGCTGGGGTTTCATGTTTTGTCTGTATAATAACTAACTGCATTACTGCTTCTTCTTCTTCCTATGATATTTATGTTGTTTATTTATTTATTTTTGTTTTATGTGCATTGGTGTTTTGCCTGCATGTATGTCTGTGTGAGGATGCCAGATCCCCTAGAACTAGAGCTGCAGGCAGTTGTGAGCTGCCATCCATGTGGTGCTGAGAATTAAATCCCAAGGCCTCTGGAAGAACAGCCAGTGCTCTTAACCTCTGAGCCATCTCACCAGGCACCCCATACACACAATTTTTTTTGTTTTGTTTTTTTGAGACAGGGTTTCTCTGCAGCTTTGGAGCCTGTCCTGGAACTAGCTCTTGTAGACCAGGCTGGCCTTGAACTCACAGAGATCCGCCTGCTTCTGCTAGAAACTGAGTTTTCTATAGAACCTATTACTTAAGTGGTATTAGTAAGTATGAGACATAGGATTTGGAAAAAAAAAATCATTAAAGAAGAAAAACTCAGGGAAATTTTAGAAGCTGACAAACTATAACTGAATCATGAGGTTTTCATGTTCTGCCTCAAAAACAAAGAACTAGCAGGAACAGAAGAAGATTTTTGATTACAAAATTAATGTAATTGAGTTAAAATGATTGATTTTATCACGTTAGATTTTAGTTCTCATGAAATTTACTGTTTGCTCATTTTGTTTCTTTTATTTTGATATGCTTATATAATCAAGGAAGACTTTAGAATAAGTATGCAGCATGACAAGACTTTGTAATCAATGATTAAAGTCTATGAGGAAATGATTTGGAGTCTAAATAAAGTCTATGAGAGATGCAGATTGTCAGAGTAGATCAAGCCACCCTGAGATATGCTTCCTCTCTGTCCATCTCCCATGAAACAACACTATGAAGTGTCCTGTGTCTGATTTCTCCATCTCCGCCCTTGCACGCACCCACTTCAGACCCTGCCCTCATCTGGAGCTGGACTCCGGCAGATCTCCTAGAACTAGAGTTCCAGGCTACTGTAAGCAACCTGGGAGGTTCTTAGAAACAGACTGCTGTTCTCTGCAAGAGTAGCAAGCGATATTAACCACTGAATTCCAGGCCCTAGAAATGGTTTAAGGTTTATTTATTATTTTATGTGTATGATGTTTTGCCTGCGTGTATGTATATGCATATCTGATTCCCTCTGAGGTCAGAAAAGGGCATTGGATCTCTCGGGACTTGAGTTATAGATGGTTGTGAGCCACATTGTAGGTGCTGTGAATAAAGCCCAGGTCCTCTTGCAAGAACAAAAAGTGCTCTTAATTGCTGAGCCAACTCTCCACCCTACAAAAGATGTTATTAAAAAAACAAAACTTTTTTCCTTAAAAAAAAAGTGTATATAGATAGACAGACAGAGAGAGATCAATCTAAGTAGATGAAGGCAGGAAAGAACTGTGTTAATAATCACTATTAAGAATGTATCAAGTTGGGCATGATAGTGCATACCTTTAATCCCAGCACTTGGGAGGCAGAGGCAGGTGGATCTCTGAATTTTAGGGCAAGTTTGAGGACAGCTTAGGCAGTAAAGGTAAAAATCAAAAACAGAAATCTGGTGAAGATGTAATTGAACAAAGGGACCATGTTCCAGCAAGAAGCAGAACTTAGAAGCTTCAGCCACGTGGTTTAGGCTTTACGGTTAAGGATAGAAGAAAGGAGTTATGGGATTTGCCTCTGAAACTAAGGAAAGCAACTGAGGCCAGGCATGTGTCAGGGGTGGCCCTGAATGGAGGCCTAGAGAGGCCATTGTGTGAAGCTGTGAAGGTGAAGACTGGATTGCCCTGGAGACCCCAAGATGCTGGAGGTGCCAGAGCCTTGGGACACCTGCTGAGGAGAGCTAACGGGATGAGGAACCAGCCCAAGAGAAAGAAGTGTGCTGCAATCAACAAAACTGAAAGGAGTTGGAGATCTGAAGAGGGTTGACATCAGACATGGAGATGAAGTTTGGAGTTTGTCCAGCTGGTTTTTGGTCTTGCTTTGGTCCAGTATTTCCTCGGTATGCTCCCTTCCCTATGTTTTGGAGTGGTAATGTATATCCTGTGCCATTTTATGTTGGAAGTATGTGATCTGTTTTTTAATTTTGATTCTACAGGGAAACAGAGTTAAGAGATTGTATGAATCTCAGAAGAGACTTTAGACTTTTAAATAAGTTTGAGATTGATATAGACTATGGGAACTTTTGAAGTTAGACTAAATGCATTTTTGCATTATGATATGGTTACAAACCTTTGGGGGCCAGTGGAATGTGGCGGTTTGCAAGAAAATGGCCCCCAAAGGAAGTGGCACTATTAGGAGATGTAGCCTTATTGGAGTAGGTGTGGTCTTACTGGAGGAAGTGTGTCACTGTGGAGGCAGCTTTAAAGTCTCATATGTCCTCAAGATACTGCCCAGTGTCTCAGTTCACTTCCTGTTACAGTTTGATCAAGATGTAGCCAGCACCACATCTCTTGCACACCGCCAAGCTCCCTGCTATGATGATAATGGACTGAACCTCTAAAACTGTAACCAAGCCACCTCAATTGAATGTTCCCCTTTATAAGAGTTGCCGTGGTCAGCCGGGCAGTGGTGGTACATGCCTTTACATGCAGAAGCTGGCAGATCTCTGTGAGTTTGGGGCCATCCTGGTCTACAGAGCAAGTTCCAGGACAGGCTCCAAAGATAAACAGCAAAAAGCTGTCTGCGTGTGTGTGTGTGTGTGTGTGTGTGTGTGTGTGCACGTGTGTGCGCGCGCGCGCGTGCACACACTGTAGTATCTCTTCACATCAATAGAAACTCTAAGACAGAGCGTAAAAGGGGCTTGAGCTTAATTCCTGGGACCCATGGAATGGAAAGAGAGAACTGGTTCTCAAAAGTTGTTCTCTGACTTCCATGCATATGCCCCTGCTAAGATAAATAAATACAATAAAAGATTTAAAAACAAACAAATTTGCTATCACCACTAATACAAGGGCAGATGGACATGGGCTCAAGGCCAAACCTTTGAAGGCGTCTGTTGCTCCAGGAGCGCAGTTCTTGTCAGGATGAAACTTCAGGGCGAGCTTCCTGTAAGCTTTCTTAAGTTCTTCATCACTGGCGTTGCGAGAAACTCCCAGAATTTCATAGTAATTTCTGCACTTCTTGATTCTTAAAAGAAAAAAATTAAAAATGTGTATATCTATAGAGGCTCTATTTGTATAACTAGTAGCCAAACAATTCATCCCTCCAACCTGTGAACTCCAAAACAAACCCAACAAAATATAAACATTGAAATCATCCTATCCAGACCTTCACACAGCCCCTCTGGGTCTACTCCTCTATCCCTCTTACAGTCATATAAGTGGGCAGAAGAAGCATGTTAGCCTCTATGCCAAAGTTCAGGCTAAGATCCTGAAAATTAATCAAAGAACAGCAAAGCTAGAAGAATTAGCTAGCTATCTTATTTTGTTTTCTTAAGACAGCATCTCAAGCAGCCCAGGCTAGCCTCAAGGTCACTATGTAGCTAAGGCTGGTTTTTGTTGGGAGCTGCAGACCCTCAGACTCTGAACTTTCTATGACCCCTTGCCTGCCGGAGTAAACAACTTGTTTTCCTATGCTTGCAGCTACTCTGAGCACGGGAACCCTCGGGAGTTCCTGATAACAAGGAAGTGGTTTCTGGTGGGCTTGCAGTGAAAAATCCAGAGAGCTAGGGTGTGACCATTAGTCAAGGAGAGCACTATATAAGCTGCCTGGGAACATAATAAAATTGGCATTCTTGCTTCAAAAGTGGCCCGTGCCTCTGTGTGTTCTTTAATCCCCAGGCCCTTGCCCAACCTTGGTTCGAGGCGGTGCAGACATCACAGGTTTTGAGGTCTTAATTCTCCTGCTTCCATTCCCCACACATTGAGATTATAGGTGTGTGTTCTCACATCTGCCCTTATAGCTATCTTTCAAAATTGTGTAAGTCGTTTTCCCTTCAGGGACATGTGGAGGGGTTTCGTTTTGTTTTGAGACAGGATTTTCTCATGTAGTTCTGGCTGTCTTGGAACTTTCTATGTAGACCAGTCTGTCCCCCAACTCATAAAGATCTAATTGTGTCTGTCTCTCTCAAGTGCTGGGATTAAAAGCATTCACACAATGCTTGGTCTTTTTTTCCTTCAGATAGACTCTCATGTAGTCCAGGCTCAGCCCCACCTCTCCGTGTAGTGGAGAAGGACTTCCTATGGGCATGTATCAAAACCAGAGATCGACAGCAGGTCTTTTCCTTCCCACTCTTCGCCTTATTTTTAAAATTACATTTTCTTTCTCTCATCCTTTCATCTCTTTCTGAAACAGGGTCTCACTGTGTAGCCCTAGCTGTCCTGAAACTCAGAGAGATCCACACCTGCCTTGAATTGATTTTCTGTGCTCATGAAACTGGGGTCCAGGTTTATCCTTTTCATATGAATATTCAGTTGTCTAAACCTTTGCTGAGGACTATTCTTTCCTCCATTAAAATGTCTGGGCACCTTATCAACAAATAACGGGTCAGAGCTAGGCTTGGTGGCTCATGCCACCTGGCATTGCAAGCATTTGATAGGCTGAGGCAGGACACTTACTGGGAGTCTGTCTTGGAACCAGTCTGTCTACAGAGTGAAACTTTATATAAACACATCAAACAATGAGACTCAAGGGCCCATAAACATGAGGGTTATTCTGGACTCTCAGCCGATCCCACTGAGATCCATGTTCATCCTCATATCTGTCAGATGGTCTTCATCGTTAGTCTTGAAGTAAGTTTAAAATTTAAAGCATTACTTATCCAACTTTGTTCTTTTTCAAAAATCATTCTGGGTCCCTTCCATCTCCATGTGATTTTCCTCTCTTTCCTTCTCTTCTTTAATTTTTTTTCTATTTTTTCCCTTTTTGGACAGAGTTTCCCAGGTTTACCAGGCCGTGGTAGCACATAACTTTATTCCCAGCACTCAGGAGGCAGAAGCAGGTGAATCTGAGTTTGAGACCAACCTCCTGGTCTACAGAGTGAGTTCCAGGACGACCAGGCTAAACAGAGAAAACCTGTCTCCTAGGGCATAGAGGTGCATGCCTTTAGTCCCAGCATATAGAAAAACCCTGTCTCAAACAAATAACAGCGAGGGAGGGTCTCTCACTATATAGCTCTTTCAGGCCTGAAACTTGCTATGCAGACCAAGCCTCAAACTCGCATTCCCAGTACACATATCAGGTGGCTCACAGCTACCTCTAACTCCAACTCCAGGGGATCTGACGCCCTCTTCAGGTCTCTGCACGTATCTGCGCCATGTACACACACCCACACAGAGGCATAAAAATAAAATTAATAATAAAAAAAGGGTAGTGCTGTCCTCTCTTTTCAGTCCTGATTTTGTGTATGTCTGTGTGTTGAGGGGCAGACAAGTCTCTGTGTAACTCTGGCTACCCTGGAGTTGTCTATTCCTCCTGCTCCAGAGTGCTGGGATTACAGGTTTGTACAACCAGGCATGCCTCATTCCTGATTTTAGTCATTTGAGTGAGTATTGTTTTTCTCCCTGGACAGTATAGTTAAAAGTTCATCAGTTTTGTTGACATTTTAAAGATTTAATTTATGACTTTATTGGTTTTTCTCTATTGTTTTCCTATTTTCTATTTCATTTATATCTGTTCTTGTATTTTTTCTTTATCCTTCTTATGTAGGGTTTTGTTGTTTTGGTCTCAAACCCCAGATATTCCCACCTCACTTAAGCTCTGTGACAACAGGCTTATGTCACCAGGCCTACCCTCTAGTTTCTTTGTTGTCTGTTTTGTGATTCTGGGACTGGACCCAGGGTCCTGCAGTGCTAGGCAGGCACTCCACCAGTGAACTGTATCCCCAGTCCACTCTGCACTTTCTTATTTTGACACCGGCTCTCCCTAATTGCCCTGGATGGCCTTGAACTCACGTTGTCATAGACTGGCCATAACCCTGCGAACACTCTGCTCTCTGTCTCCTAAGTAGCTGCTATCACAAACCTGGATCACCACACCTGGCTAAAAGACATCTTTTTTATTTTAATGTACCGGAGATCAAACCTCGGGCCTCCTGCCTGCGAGACAAAGCTCTCTACTACTGAGCTACATTCTACATTCCCAGCCCTTGCTTTCTTACTTTGTTTTCCCGGCTTCTCCTAAAGCATATCACACAACTCACAGTATATTCTAACGCTCCATTCTTACCCAGTCTTTCATTTAAAGTCAAGAAGCTAGTGTCTTTCAATAATACAATCACGGGGGCTGGAGAGATGAATCAGTGGTTAAGAGCACTGGCTGTTCTTCTGAAGGCCCCGGGTTTGATTCCCAACACCCACACAGAGGCTCAAAACTGTCTACCTGTAACTCCTGTTCTAGTGTCCAAAGTCCTGAGCCTCCGAGGGCACTGTACACACATGGTGCACAGACATACGTGCAGGGCAAACATCTACGCACATAAAGTAATACATAAATATAAGGAAAATGGTGATGACACAGGTCAGTCATTGCATAGCCCCTCCTGAGACAGACATTCTTCTAAGCACTTTCTATAAAATCCTTTATTTAACCCAACAACAGCAGTTCCAACCTGCGGGTCTCTACCCCTTTGGGGCTCGAACGACCCTCTCATGGAGTCTCATATCAGATATCCTGCCTATCCAGCTAGTTACATTATGTTCATAACAGTAGCAAAATTACAGCGATGAGGTAGCCACAAAATAATGTTGTGGTTGGGTTCAACACATGAGGAACTGTATTAAAGAATCACAGCATCAGGAAGGTTGAGAACCACTGTCCTGCAGGCTTACCTTTGGACCCCAAGTAGCTGTTCCTCGGTGTAAGTGGAGCTCCCCTCTCCCTGCCGGGGCTGAGTCCTCTCATTCTCAGGCTTCGATTCCTTTTGTGCCTTCATGCAGTTACAGCAACCACAGGGATCATGACTGCCAGGTCTTCTGTCTTCTGGGTATTTGTTTCTTCTAATTGCATCAATGTAAGCTGCAAGCCAACAGCCGAATCAACCTCCAGTTCAAACTAACTTAGACTTTTGTTTACTTTTTGAGACAAGGTTTCACTATGGCTGGCCTCAAATTCAGGAATCTTCTGCCTCGGCTTCTCTTAGGTTGGAATTACAACCATGCGCAACTACGCCTGGCTCTGTAATTTTGCTGCTTGCCCCCGCTCTCTGGGAGGCAGCTTGCAGATAAGAGCAAAGAAGTGTGGAGAAGGGTGGAGAAGTGTGGACAAGGAAAGGTGGAGAAGGGTGAAGAAGGGTGGAGAAGGGTGGAGAAGGGTGGAGAAGTGTGGACAAGGAAAGGTGGAGAAGGGTGAAGAAGGGTGGAGAAGGGTGGAGAAGGGTGGAGAAGGGTGGAGAAAGGTGGAGAAGGGTGGAGAAGGGTGGAGAAATGTGGAGAAGGGTGGAGAAGGAAGGGTGGAGAAGGGTGGAGAAGGAAGGGTGGAGAAGGAAGGGTGGAGAAGGAAGGGTGGAGAAGGGTGGAGAAGGAAGGGTGGAGAAGGAAGGGTGGAGAAGGAAGGGTGGAGAAGGAAGGGTGGAGAAGGAAGGGTGGAGAAGGAAGGGTGGAGAAGGGTGGAGAAGGAAGGGTGGAGAAGGAAGGGTGGAGAAGGGTGGAGAAGGAAGGGTGGAGAAGGGTGGAGAAGGAAGGGTGGAGAAGGATGGGTGGAGAAGGAAGGGTGGAGAAGGGTGGAGAAGGAAGGGTGGAGAAGGAAGGGTGGAGAAGGAAGGGTGGAGAAGGAAGGGTGGAGAAGGAAGGGTGGAGAAGGAAGGGTGGAGAAGGAAGGGTGGAGAAGGAAGGGTGGAGAAGGAAGGGTGGAGAAGTGTCTTTAGATGACTACAGACATCATGGAGACTTCAAAATTTCCATTCAAAACTCCAACAAAAGCCGGGCGATAGTGGCGCACGCCTTTAATCCCAGCACTTGGGAGGCAGAGGCAGGCGGATCTCTGTGAGTTCGAGACCAGCCTGGTCTACAGAGCTAGTTCCAGGACAGGCTCCACAGCCACAGAGAAACCCTGTCTCGAAAAACCAAAAAAAAAAAAAAAAAAAAAAAAAAAAAACTCCAACAAACATCTTGCCTGGGATACTTCACAGAGAATACAGGATGCACCCGAGGAAGAAACTTAAATGCCAGAAGCACAAAGCCCTAAATTTTCACCATACTGACAGTGCTCGTTCAACAAATGCTCTTAACTGAGATACAGAAGAAGGGCTTGTGAGGCAGTTCTACCCAAGACCTTGCCTTTAGAGCAGTGTGGAGAGAGGCCTATTTCTTTGTGCTGCATGGCCAGAGGTGACATCGTTCATAAAAGAATACTTTGCTTGCAAAGGCTCCTACCCTTAAAATTTGAAGCATGGACAGACCCTGTCTCAAAAACAAATAAAAACCACAACACAACAAACAAGAAAGAATGGAGTCATTTAATTCTCTTAAACTGGCATTTGTCGGGCTCGAGAGATGGCTCAGCAGTTAAGAGTTTAGGCTGCTCTTGCAGAGAGCCTGAGTTTGGTTTCCAGCACCCACATGGCAGCTCAAACCTCTTGTAATTCCAGTTCCAGGTGGATTTGATGCCTCTGGCTTCAAAGGGCGCCTTAACTCCCAGGGACATATTTCTTCCCCCACTTACACATAGTTAAAAATAAAATAAATCTTTTTAAAAAGTGAAACGAACATCTGTAGAACTAATATGAACCGAGACACTGGGCTAGACATATCAGGGGCTGTATGGGTCAGACCAGTTCCTACCACACAAAGGTTATAGTTTAGTGCAAGATGATTCAGTAAGTCCTGAAGCCTACAAAATGTACAGGGCAAGCCAGTGAGGGACAGGGCACTCATATCTTGTCAGCAAATCCAAAAAAGCTTTAAAAACATCTTTCTCTCCTACTTAAGATCCTTGACACTTTTCCTTTAAGGCATCCTTCATATCTTTATATGTAATGTTTGGAGAAAACGAAGCTTCTTTTGACATCCAGGCTGTGTTGGGTACCTTGTCAGTGTGTAGCCCAAACCCCCAACCTTGCTGCGGTAACCCAGGAACTTACTGGCTGTGTTTTGTAAAAGGCTGTTAACCGGTAAAACTCTCTCAGTGGACTGACAGTTCTGTGAGCTCAGGGACCCGCGTCTGTCAAATTCCCCCTGCAGAATCAGCATAGCGCAGGACAGATGATAGGTATCGGGATCAAAACTTTCTGCCGGACCGTAGGATGGAAAAGGACAGACTGCCTACTGGCCCTGGTGTAAGCCTTGAGGAACGAGATCAAACCGAGACTAGAGAGTCGGGTGGCCTAACGTGAAGGAGTTATCCATAAAGGGCAGGTATGCTACGGAACTCAGCATCCTAAGCGCCCTCGAATCACAGGAGGTCAAGACTGGCCGGACAGCCGGGGGCTCTGGATGGGGCATGGCCGGGGCGGAGCTGGGGGCTCTGAGGCAACTAGTAGCCAATGACTGAGCTCTGAGCTACAGCCTCAGCAGGGACCAGCGTTCCCGGCCGCTGCCCTGGGCCGTCCTCCACCGCAACCCGAGCCCTTCCCAGGCTTAGCATCTTTCCACAAACCTCCATCTGGTCCAGGATCTCGGCCTTAAGATCCGAGGAGCCTACATCCCTGATCTCTCCGGAATGCTGCCTTGTCCCACCCTCCAGTCCGGAACCTGGTACCTTGGGTCCAGCGTTCTCCGCTGCCCAGAGTGGCCGCCATATCGGTTTTCAGTCAGCAGGTCAGCTGAGCCTCGCAAGTACCGGAGGCTGAAAGAGAGGGGGCGCGGGGCGCGGGGCACGCTGGTCATTGTAGTTTAGTTCATGTAGGCTGCGGGGCTACGCGACTACAAGTCCCGACGGGGCCCGCGCGAGAAACGCGGAGATGCAGTGGTGTGAAGGGACGGGATACTCAGAGTGAGGCCAGAACTGTCTAGTTGGCTCGTTTCTGCGTTTCTGGCTCAGACTCAGATTCATCTATAGCTGGGAAGAGTGGCTTCTTTCCTGCCTGATCCTGAAAACATACAAAGGTCCTAGGGGACAACGGCTTCACACACTGCAGGCCAACCGGTGACACCCTCAGGAATGTCCCTCTTAAGTATCTACCAGTGCCTATTCTGTGCAAAATCTATGCTAGGCCCTGGGGATAGAAAAATGGTTTGGGAAGGCTAAACTCACTCTGGGAGGTTTAATGGCCGCAAAAAAAAAAAAAAAAAAAAAGAAAGAAAAAAAGAAAAGAAAAGAAAAGTGGGGTGAATTTAGTATAGTTAGACAGTAGTTTGGATTCCTCCCATCCAAGCTCCTTAGTCCTCAGAGGGACCAATGGGGCGGGGCGTTAAGTTTAGGAGCCGCCCTCAGAGCCCTTGTGTTTACTTCATCACCATTCTACTCATGAACTTCCGAGGCTCCTCTCCTCTTTCCCAGTTCTTTCTTTGTCCCGTTCTCTTTTCTGAAGGGCCAGCTCTAAGAAGTTTGTAAAGAGGAAATGAGCGATTATTCCTTCTGTTCCGCACCCTGTTTTCTGGGAAGTCTAGCAAAGACTCAGAGCAATTCTTTCGCATGATTCAGAGGGGAATTTCTGGTCTCCTCACTCCCTTACAATCCACGGAGGAAGGTGATGAGGTGGGGATCACCAAACCTAATCTAATCACCAAGCCAAAAATCAGGTCTACAAACGGGCAAAATGATCAGGATTTCAGAAAATTATCTGGAAAAATAAATAGCTGGAATTTGCTTAGATCCTATTCAAGAAAACTAGATCAATTATGCTGTCAACCACCTGCTACTTAGGCTGTTGGGAAAATGGGGTTTACATGGGGATGCATAGCCCTGAACCCAGACAGAAGGGTAAGAGCTCCAGAGGACATGCGGCTCTAGTACTTCCCCGCTGTCAGAGCCTGGCATACAGACTTCACAACCACTTGGAACTCCAGGAGAACAAGGCCTCTCAGAGGGAACAAGAACTGGCTCAGAAGTTGGATACAGGTTGTAGCTGGGAGTTTGCCACAACTCATTATGTGGCCCTGACCAACTTCCTTCTCCTTCTGCTTTGGCCTCTGTCAAAGTTGAGGCATCCTTAAGATTCAGTGTGTGACTGCCTCAGGGATCTTCCATGAGGAGCTGGAGGGGGAAGAGAGGCACAGCTGGGAAAGCTGCATTGCCCTCCTCCAACCAAAGCGTTTCATATATTGAGAGCTCCCAGATTAATGCACCCTGAAATGCTTGTGCCATTTGTAATGTCAGTTACAAACAGAGCCCCTAAAGATAGCATTGCGCCCTGCCCCGCCGCCATAGCAAGAAGATGACAGCTGTCTCCACATTTGAGCATTATCTGATTTAGGAGGAGGAACAGCATAATGGTTAAGAGATTAGCCTAGCATTGTGATGGATACAAGAAGATAATGCTTAACAATTTGTCTGGTATTTAATAAATGCCAGCCGATACTACAGACTAGCATGGGAGAGCAAAAACAATTTATTTTTCCTTTGTTTTTTTGTTTGTTTGATTTGATTTGGTTTAGTTTTTTTCAAGATAGGGTTTGTTTGTAGCTTTGAAGCCTGTCCTGGAACTAGCTCTGTAGACCAGGCTGACCTTGAATTCACAGAGATCTGCCTGCCAATACCGTCTGAGTGTTGGGATAAAAGGCATGTGCCACCACTGCCCAGCTACAAAAAAACCATTTCTTTGTAGTTTGACATTGTAAATTATTAGTGTAGAGTCTGTATTAGGCATGTCATAAGTCTCCAGTATGTCTAACTAGGTCTCCTGCCTGTATATCTGGCGATTATTATTACTACAAATAGGAAAAAAAAAGAAAAACACTACCAAAAAGGTATAGGAAGCTGCTATCCCCCATGTCCTAGCACCTGGCTCCAGCTACTAAAACTAATGATTTTCCCACTCCTGACTTCAAAAAAGATCAGAGGATAAGCCAGGCATAGCGACACAAATGTTCAGGAGTTCAAGGCAATCTGGGATACAGGAAAACTTGTCTTAAATACAAACAACAACAACAACATACATATGTGTTAGAACACATCTGGAGTACCAGCACCCAGGAGGTGAAGCAGGAGGATCCTAGTCTGAAGTCAACCTGAGATATAATGAGACTTTGTCTCAAACAAAAAAGGCTGACAGGGTGAATCTGTATGGGAAGGACTATGCTTCACAACCAGGTGGACTGTGGTAAACTCGAAAGACAAAAGCATCCAGACCTTGAGATAAGCTGAAGGCCCAACTCTGAGGCCCTGGAACTATGACCAACTCATATATTTCAGGTAACTGGATCTGGGCAGGGGAGATGGCTCACAAGCAAGAAGACAGAAGCCTGGCCTGAAGGATCCACTCCTGCTCTATGGCACAATCAGAATCATGCATCAGATGGTTGTATATAAAAAAAGGTTTTCTGCTTTGGGAATTGTAGACAGCCTGCTTTTAGAAGATGACCAACTGAGATAGGATAACTGTCTTGGATTTCCAGGGCACGGGGTTAAAGTCTGCAGGTAATCACAGGTGTCTGAACCATCAGAACTCAGAAGTATCTGGCTAGAATGAGAAGTACCGTGCATTCCTAATGAGGTGGGCTGGAGGAGGGGCTCAGCTGCGCAAAGCACGTACTGCTCTTGAAGAGATCAGTTCCCAGCACTGGGTCAGGTGGCTCACAAGCACCTATAGCTCCAGCCCCGGGGCATCCCACATTCTCTTCTGACCTCCATGGGCACCCGCATTCACATACACATGTGCACATAATTAAAAAATAAAAATAAAAGAACTTCTTGGAGGGAAATAGGGAAGAGAACTGGGATCTCCAAGGCAGTTCTCAGAAAGAAAATTGGTGAAAAAGTTTTGGGGGAAAAGGAAACTGTTCACAAATCTAGGTGGCTGGCCATCAGGACCACAAGTTTTTTGTTGTTTTTTTGTTTTGTTTTGTATGGGTTTTTGGTATTTTGACAGATTTACATAGAATTTAGTAGGATTGACCTGACTTTGTGAAATTATGTGACAGATAAGGGCAACGGAGCTGCAGCCAGTTTTCTATCAGTGTGTTTGTTTTTAGAGATGCCGACGTGAGATTTGCCCCATCCAGGCCCGGAAAAAGAGAGATACTGGGTAAACCTTCTTTCTTTTAGTTACGGCCTGTGTTGCTTGCTTTCTTATAGGTTGAGCAAAGAAATAAAAAGACATTCGAACACACACACACACACACAGAGAGAGAGAGAGAGAGAGAAACAGCTTCCTGCTTTAGGACTGTGTAGTCTTGTGTAAGAAAAGGGAGGAAGTTGTCTTGTAAATGGTCACCATCCTGTTGTCTAGACATCAAGGAAGAGATGTAAGCTTAGGGAAGCTACAGGAGCAGCAGAGGGCGGCACTCGGATTTCCTGTCAGAGCTGGACTCTTGTATTTACATACAAAATAGGATCCTACCAAAGACATGCCCCTCCAACCTCCTTTGCTGAGAGCAGGATTTAGCGTTAAATGAGTTCATCCTGGACCCTCCCCAGAGTATTGTTACCTAGCAACAGTAGTGGCTAGTGTAGTACAGCATCAGTAGTAGGTAAGAGCCCGGCAGTCTCAAGGCTATTAATACCAGGTTATTCCTCCCCTCCCATATATAAATACCTTATGACTAACAGCTCACATTTGCAGCACATTATCCAGAGTCAGGGAAAACTGTGGCTTTGTAATGAAGAAGGCACATGAGTTAACCAGAGTGAAATCCACCCATGTCCTTGACCTGATTAGTGCAGTATGCTCAGCAGCTGAACCACGTGGCCATGGCTGAATGACAACGGTTCTAACAGAATTCAAGCCTTCTAGACATTGTTATGTCACCTGGAAAGTTCTACGCCAGTGATAAACTTTTGAACTGTGACTGAACAGTAAAGCATGTGCTGTTGGAGATACAATTTAAATAAAACATGCCTGAAGATCTAAAAAATAATCACTGTATTGTGTGATCATAGATGGCTCTGTGGGTAAGAGTCGGAGCTCTCCTGCACCCTATAAAAGCTGGCTAGGCGTGGGGACTGGCCTGTGAGCCCAGTGTTAGCTAAGTAGGAGATGGGCGTTCCCTGGGATGAGCTGGATGTCTAGATGGCCAGACTAAGATGCACTGGGTTCAACCGAGAGACCCGCCTGAATCCACAGCACACACAGTGAGCAAAGAAGACCTGCATGGCCTGTCAACCTCTGGCCTCCACAGGCACACACATGTGCCTTTCCACTGACAAATGTATGTGCCCACACACGTAAGTACACATAACACACACACACACACATAAGGAAGGAAAAAAAGTACTGTAGTATTAGGGCCAGATGTGTGACTCATTTGCTAGTGTTTAACACACATGAATCATGAGTTTGGTAGCCAGCACTGCATAAAACCGGACACGGTAGTACATATCTACACTTGGGAGTAAAGGCAAGGTGATCTTTGGCTACGTTATGAGCTTCAGGCTAGCCTGGGATAGAGGAGATTCTGTTGCAAAATTAAATATGAAAATACTATAGTGTTGTTATATAGGATGAGTACTCCAGGAAATGGACTCTGAGACACTGAGATATGTATACCAAAAAGTTATTAATGAATGTTTCTGTAACAAGTAAGGGAAGATGATCATGTGCAAGAGAAACCAAGGTCCTTCACATCCACCAGCCAACCATCAGCCAGCCATGTGTCCTCAGCAGCCCACAGCTTAGGAACAAATGCCTCGGCTCTGAAGTGTGG